CATTTATATTTGTGTAGGAGATCTAAAGCTTTAAGAGGTTTTATACATCCAGATAATTCCCATAAAATCCATACCAGGCCTCTAATGGAGACATATGGAAGCTCGAAGGCGAGAAAAAAAAAAGGATTTTGTAAATTATTATGAGAAACTTTATCAACTACTTTGAGATGTTTATTCATTATTTTGAGAAAGTTTCTAACTTATCTGTCACATTGGCACAAATAGGTTTCCATAGAGATTTAATCCAAACATGAGACGGGTGTTTGTTTTGGAAGTTTTACAGTATAAGTTTAGGAAGACAGAGCGCCACCAATACGCAAAAGTACAGAATAATGTATCATAAAATAAAATGTATGAAAACATCAGAGCTTTTGTTTTTACTATATTAGAATCAATACAATCAAAGCCCCTAATTATCATGAAATATCGATACTTTCAGCCTGTAATCAGCATTACCACAGAAACACAAGCACGTGTGTGTTTGTGTGTTTGTGGGACCGACCAGGTGAGGTCTCTGGTTCTTTTGTTACAAACAGAAAAGAGCTTTGAATCGGTGGAAACTGCTGGACGGTCTGATGAAAGGAGGCTGAGCCGCAGGGAGGTTCAATCAGATCTGCACTGTGTGACACTTTCACCGGCTCACAAACAAACAGCTGCGTCCCCATAAACCACCAAAACCAGACTCCTCCTCAACAGCCCGCCTCAAGAAAGCAAACTTTTTCCTCCTTACCTCTGGTCCCAAGCAGCGACTCCTCTCCCTCCTCTTCCTCCTCGTTCCGCCGCTTCCTCGCAGTAGATTCCCCCCAGTGAGAGTCGGGTAGAGAGTCCAGGTGTCTAAAGGTGAGTTAGAAGCTGAATCTCGGCCCTGTCAGTCGGTGGTTTGCAGTTTTCCAGCGGTGGAGGATCCGACTGTCGCTCCTGCTGCCTGTCTGACTGCTGCTGCCTTCACGGACTGTCGGACATATGGGGATTCAGCGCGCATGAGCGAGAGAAAAAAAGACTTTATAGAGCTGAGGGCGGGTCGGAACTGGACCACATGAAGACGTTGTTACAGGATTCACATGGAGGGAAAACTGTTGACATGTTCTCATTAATGACTGTAAAAACCAGAGAAGTTTAACTCAAACATCAAAATGTTTAAGGAACTTGAATAACTTAGTTTTACAAGTTACAGAAACGTTCCTGATGTTTTACAGGACAAATTAAAATTACAAAATTAAGTCACTTAAATGAGCTTTAGTCATTTTTACTGATATAAAATACCTAGTAAAAAGGTTCTTCAGGAATGTTTCTGTAACGTACAAAGCAAAGTTAACTAGTAAAAGTTGCTTAATCAATAATCTTTTTAAACTTAATACTTATTGCATTATCTCTGTAAAACCAGATTTTATGTTAATTTAACTCCAAAAATTGCTTACATTTAATATTTTAAGTAAAATGAACTAAATTTTGTAAATTAGAAAAACGTCCTTAAAATCCTTAATCAAATAGATTCAGTCATTTTAAGTGACACTAATTTAATTTTACAAAGTGAAGTTAGTGTCACTTTAAATAATTAGTAAAAGCTGCTTCATCAAGAATCTTTTTCAACTTATGAGTATCACAAAAACAAAAAGACAACAAGAACATTTAATTTAGAAAGTCTCAGTTTGATGGTTGGAAACAGTCTATCTGGAGTTAATAAGTAGAATTTCTAACTTTGTGGCCCCCCAGTGGTCAAACAGACACACACACTGGTTCCATCACTAATAACTTTATTTATTAGATCTTCTTTATCCTGCTGCCTCCAGTCACAGTTCCTGGTTTTAGGACTCGATGAGCTCCAGCTGATATTTTTTCTTCTGTCAGTAATCAGCGGTGATGATGAAGCTTCCTGCTCTGCATTGTTTCTGTTTTCCCGCCTTTTCTTGTTTTCTGTCTTTCCTCTTCGTCTGAGGCCGACACAATGAAGCTTCCTCTGCTTCCTGAAGCTCTTCCTGAACTTTAACACGGAGCTGCTGCAGTCTGTCGCCCAGACACTGAGTTACAGCTCGCACTGAGTTACAGCTCGCACTAGCAGCAGCTAGCAACAGCGCCCTCTAGCAGCAGCTGCTGAAACTACAAGAAGGTTTATGAGGATAAAGTGACTTCAGGATGGACGGACTGAGGGGCAGTTCAAAATCATGTGGGGGCAGTTTTTTCTTAAAATAATGTGTTGATGCAACAATTACAGAAAGGCTAAATAACAGCACCCTGTTTCATGTTAATGGACCTGAAACTTTAAAGATATAAACATACTGGCCCTGAACTCAACCCTGCTGAGGCTCTATTGATCCTCACTCTCACAGATGATCCTGAATAACCCTGAAACCACCAGAGTAAAATCATTAAAAGTCATTAGAGCTCAGCTATTGAACGGCCGCCAGTGGAAACAGGAAACAAATAATGGACCAATCACAGCTGGAGGCGGCAGAGAGACACGCTCACCTACAAACAGTGAGTCGGTGGCTGCAAACAGACGCTAGGGACTCTGGGAAATAAAGATCTGATCAGATGTCAGATAATAGAAATTTCATGAATTTTCCTAAAAGGTTTCCAAAAAGAGTGAAACAGCGCCCCCTAGCTTTTACAGCAGGTAAAACTGTATAACAGCTGACAGACTGAGGATGAAGCTGACACGTCCTAATACATTAATGTAAGTAAACAACTCAACTACATGTAGAACATTGGTGTAGTGTTTATACAGTTTAATGAGGAAATGTTACACATTATATCATTATTACCCAGTTAGTCATTTCTACACATGATCATAATCTGGTTTTATAAAATGATAAATTTACAAACCAAATATTAATAAACTGTAAATAATGAATTCATAAAAAACACACTGCTGCCAGTAGAAACTTATATTTACATAATCAATGTTCTGATTCATCATCAATGAAAAAGAAAGACCTGAGATCAGATAAATGACATGAAGCTACAGTAAGTCTCCGGTATTATTAGTCGTGTGCGTTGTCACGTTGCTGAAAGTGTAAACTGTGAGATTAGTGAGTAAGAGAGAGCTAAGAGCAGAACTATCTTATATTACCACGGGCCATTAGCTCCTGTAATTAGCAACCTAACAACTTTATTAAATATGAGACCAGTAAAACAACACAGAAAAAAATAAAACTAATTTATTCATAAAAGAAACGCGTTCAACCTCCATCAGCAGCTAACGAATGCTAACAGATGCTAACAATAGACTGTATAAAACATGGCTGTAGACTCAGAGTTTAATATAAGTTAAAGGGGAGCTGTATTATCTCTAGAAACCAACAGGATGTAAACAGAGTCCTTATGGAGACTCACTGCTGGAGCCTCTAGTGGCCGTTAGAGGAACTGCAGATGTGAGTGGTTTAATCCAGCTGTGGTTC